CATATCATTTGTTAGACTAAACAAATATTAAGTTTCCCCTCATATGATAAGCTTCCCATTCTTCTAACCTCCGTATTCTCCTCCTCTGCATCTCTGTCACTTTCATCTGTTTTAAGCTGGAGCAATGGGAACAGGACGCAATATCCCAGGCAAAGTCTCACCAGCGTCTTGCATGAAATCATTAATGCTTCTCAAATAATGCAAGTGGAAAACAGCCAGAATACTGATGTTAACAGTGTTCAGCACCTTGGAAAATAAAATCAATCTCAAAGGGCTTATATTTTGAAGAAGCAGAGCCTATGCCTCAGAAAGCTCACCAGTTACATCTCTGGTGGTTTTATTCATATTTCTCTCAGAGCTGGCATTTTCAGTCTTTCTATCTGTATTGGTTATCATGTTCCAGATGTCTTAATTAAGTAAACACTCCTCAATTGTTTTGTAATTCCTTTTGAGTTCCCTTCTCACTGTTTCTGACTGAAAGTTGCCCCCCATTACAAGTGACTGAAGAAAGAAAAGTCCCTCAACAAAACAAAAAACACAGCCAGCCATCCTGACGATTTGCCTTAAAGAGAAAAATCTGTCTTTCTTCCCTAGCTGGCAATTGTAGCAGGCTACATACGTCATAGAAATGTGACACCACGTTAATCTAGGGTAGCAAGATGGTGCAGTTACGGCTCCAGAATATTTGCAAATGCTTTAAGCACTTTAAAAGGAAAAAGCGTGCTCCTAACAGCAGATGACCTTTCTGAACCCCTCTCCAGTGACCAGTGGTTAGCAAGCAAAAAAAGAGAAATCCTCTCACCTCCTTAAGGCATACCTCTGCATGTACCCAGAGAATTTACAGGGACTTGGGACAGGAATACTTCCGCTTATGTGAGACTGATTTTTCCCCTTCCTCCAGACCAGTTTTCACCAGTGATCTTCCTACCAGTAGGGCCACCTGCCCGGCATTATTATGTCTTCATTTATGGCATAAATTCTGTAATACCAGTCTGTGAGATTCTTCCAAATGTAGCAGTTTCTATCTATTGCAGAATACACCAAGAACCCCAGACCAAAACACAGTATGATCCATATGACCCTAAGCCACTGTTTGGCAAGAAAGATAAGGGAAAGAGATAACTGTGTCACAAATCGGAACAATGGATTATGACGTCCTATCTGCAATTTCTCAATGTACTGCAAACTCTGTCTGGAATTAATCAATTTAAATAGAATTCTTATAATCTAGTTGCTGTAATTATTTGAAAAATCTGTAGTTAAAGAGTTATAATCATTCAACAGGCAACGAGAAGAAAGCTAGGCAAGCTGTATTCTAAATAAAATACTACAAAATACACCAGGAAGTGTTTTCATTTTTTCTACGGTCTTATTTATTTATTTTTTTAGATGTGAGAGCATGAGCAGAGCTAGTTTTTCACCAGGAACACTGCCAGCAGATCGCAAGCTTTTTTTCAACAAACTAAAAAATATACTCAATTTGTGGGCACAATGAGCAAACCATATAAAGTAAAGATTTCATTATTTTAATGTACCATTATAGAAAGCATCATGAAATCTTATACGTAATTGACAGAAAGATGCAATACAAATATATACTTTTCTTTGCAGATTTGTAGAAAAATGAAAAACGATCCTTTCACTAACAATCCTATAAGGCACAAATTGAGAAAAAATCCCATGTTTTCCAACAGCACTGAACAAGAAGGGATACTTGCATAAAATAAAGTGATCATGGACCCCCTCTAAATCTAGCATGCAAGTGGATCTGCCCCACTTCTGCACAGAGAGGTTCATGTGTGTATATCTGTACTCATAAATGCATACACAGGTTCATGCACACAGACACAAACACAGACAGACAGACAGACAGACAGACAGACAGACAGACACACACACACACACACACACACACACACACACACACACATACTTCTCTTTCCATTTAAAGAAAAAAGACCATCTCTGAGCAATAATCGCTACCTAGTAGCTATTTCATACAAATCATTTATATACTTAGATAAGATTAAACATTAACAATACACTAAAAGTAAAACTTTCTGTAAAAAGTGGCATTCAGCCCTTATTGACCATCTGTTCAAATGGAAAACAGACTGATGAAAGTTACTTTTACTAGTTTGGAAGAGATTAGTAAACTGCAATTGTGGATCTGTGTGTTCCCCAAAAACATGGAAGCACAGATTTTCAACACATATCAAACCTTTTATTTCTAGTCTTCTGTTTTAACTGAGTTCTCAGAAACAAATACATATGTAATTGATGAGTAATTTCTTCAGATACGAGAGTCTCAAAAAATATTGTTTCTTTGTAAGTTATCTATCTGACCAATTCAGGAAAAGCTATGGTGCCTACTCATACATTTCTGCATTTTTTATACTTCTTTAAAATGCATGCTCCATGTCAACAGCGTACCTTCAGTTACTGAAGATCTGTAGCAGAAGTTCATATCTGACACCACTTTTGTGGAGGCCTGTACACTCTTATACCAGTTTTAGTACTTCAATATGTGGCCATTAGAATTGATTTTCACATCATTAATGTTAAGGGTCTAGTTTATAGTATATCATGAAAACAGATTTTATTGTTAATGGTGGAGACAGTATTCAGTTACCTAGGTACAACGCATTAAAACAAATTAGAACTGTTTTTAGATTTTTCTTCCTCTCATGTACCCTCTAACCTCTAGGCCAGCAGCAGCTTTTTTAATCTAAGCTGTGATCCTGAGTGTGTTTTAAGCACCATTGAAACCACTTAAAAACAAATAAACCCCACAGAAGTAAAGATCTGTGCTTTGAACAATCTCTCCTCATACAACAGCCTTACCCTCCAGGATGGATGGGTAAAGAGAACAGATGCAAAACTAAATTACTACGGGGCTATTTACCTCACAAGGACTTTCTGGCCAAAATCCCTTTTATCTTCATCTTCTCTGACAGAAAATATTTCCCTGATTTATGCTATGAGTATTTAGTCTCCAACAATGAGTTTTCTTTGAAAAAAAAAAAAAAACTTATCAATTCTCCTGTATATATTAACAATAAAAAAGCATTCATGCTACTCACTGATTTCTGACACATAATTAAATGCAAAAATACTGGCTGACAAAATATGCCACATCCTATTTGCTCTCATTATACCACATTTAGTAGCATTTGCCTGAGTCAATTTAAGGCAAACTAAAAAGCATTCTCAAGTCTGTTTCAAGTTCTGGTCTTGAATAATATATAATCATATTTTCTGTATTTGATTTGGTGTTTGCACTACATTATCACTTTACAGTAAGATGTTCTATTCTTTGCAAAATTCTTGTCGTTTTGAAAATTGAACCCAGCAAAACTCAGAGGGCAAGGTTATCTTTATGTGAAAAATGAGAACATCTGAGTTTTAAACAGATAACGCCAAAACATGTTTGGAAGTCACAGTTTAGATTTTAAGTTAACTACTAACTCCTTTGAGAATTAAGACCAAGGGTTCATGATTGGCAAATTATCCTCAGTCTGGCTATCTCATGTGCCTTCCTCTTAATCATACAGCCCTGAATCCTGTTCAGAGCTGGACTACTGAGTAAGATGGAGCAAAGATTTGTTTTGGTACAGCCATTCCTATTTCAGTGTGATTTAGGAGCTAAAAGGAGTGCCAGATCAAATCATAAGAATGCTCTGTAAAATAGTTAAAATAATTTGTTCGTTACTCAGTGGAGTAAAATGTCAATCTAAAACACTTGCTCTACTATAACATCATTTTTCAGTACTTAAGAACCTGTCATTGATTCTGATGCATCTGAAATAAAAAATTACTGTATATAACTTTCTGTACTCTAGTTTCTACATTCAAGTAAAACGCTAATGATGCTACTGCGTTTCTGAGCAACAAAATATTACTTCCAATTCTGGGCTTCAAATATGCCTACTACATCTATCATTCAGTCCAGCTGCATGATTAAGTGTTTTTTGGCTTAGAAATCATAAGTAATTAGTGCAGAAGAGCATTAAAATTTATTTGCTAAAGTTGACTGAACTTTAGATTTTGAAAGAACCACTCCTACAGCTCATCTTGCAATAAAAGAAAAACAAGGAAAAAGGGTGAGATATTTTATGATATGAATAAACAGTATCGTTACTTACCTTAATTTAGATTATCCTGACTATGAGAATGGAGTGCTGCAATATGATTGCATTGGATGCTAGGCTGAAGCTTTTTTCTCTTCTTTTCTTTTTTCACTCCTTTCTTTGAGTAAGGAAGAATGCTTAGGGTCAGATCCTGCTCCCACTGAAGATGAGAACAAAAGTCCTCACTGGAGTTCAATAGGAGCAGGACACAGCCTTTAAAACATTTTTTCTTTTGTGTCTGTTTGTGTGAGCTTTTTTTCCTTCAGGCCGTTAAGATATGAAGCTTTTAAGATTTCTGAAGTAGTAGTAAAGAGTTGGAATTCTTACGCTCCTAATGAAGCATCATGCTGTAGTCTAACTTATCTGAATTCACTGACTCTATTTTGCCAGTGTTGTTTTTAAATAAAAAAATATCGGGGTTTACTCAACTAAGAAATCAAAAATAGTTTCCTAAAACATATTTCTTGGTACTGCAGGTATAATTCTTTATACAAATTACGTAACTGACATTCATTTGCTCAGATTTCAAATAAAAGACTGTTCTTAGCCCAACCATTATCCACTGTTCATATCCACATATATTTGTGTTTCCTTGCCTATCTGCAAGCAAGGCTTTTAAGAGGTAAATACCTTTTTATTGATCAGAACCAGGAAGTTCAGACAGTACATATTGTAAAAGATGTTTGTATGTGATTTCTTGTAGATGTCTAGTGATCACACAAAATTAATATCTCAGAAAACCTTTCAGAGCTGGACAATCTTTTCCTGAGAAGACTATATCCTGATACATGTAACACAGATGCCACAGATGAAATAACGGTAAGCTATGTTTGGCGAGTCCTGTTCCCAAGCAGCATGTGCCTCACTCACCTGTTTGGCTAAGCTGAGACGTGCTTCTGCTCCTGCGAGACACTATGGCAACCACTTTGGCACTAAGGCTGGAACGTCTTTTCTTCCCACCTGTTCCAACTGTACCGACAGCCGTGTCCGACTGACTCCCATCGTTGTGCTCCAGCTTGTACATCTCGCCGCTCACGCTTGTGCTCTTAGTGATTCTCCCTGATGTCCCCATCCGTCTGCCTTGCATTTTAGGAGTAAATGTACTACAGTTACAAAGTAAAAACAAACGTGTTAATTTGCTTGCCTAACAGTGTTTCCAAAACCAAAGGCTTTTTATTAGTAAATTAATTTAAAGTCTTGACATATTTTCACTTACTTTATTCACATATATGTGTTAATTTGACAGTCCTCCCCCCATAGCAATTCTTCATTTTTTTTGAGTGAGAAAAGAAAAAATAACACTTTCCTGAAAGTTTTTCAAAGTTACCGAAACAGAGAAACATGACATTTAAAAGTCACATGGAGCCCTCCTGCATGCATCTATTGACTATAGACAGCAATACAACAGTAATCTTCCTGCCAAAGAAAATGAATATGGACCAGGAAACCACATCCAGGTTAATACATATATCTTGTAGGCGTTGTTCGTAATAGCCTAAGATCCAACATCTTCTATGTTTTCATACTTCACACAAAGAAGAGAGAAAATAACCAGTAGTACTTTCTACTTTTTTGCTCTCTTAGTTTTTAAAAAGCAAAGGCAACAGCCCTAGTATGAAGGAAGAGTAATTTTCAGGCTAAAATAACTAATAACCCAAGTGAAATTCCACTGACTGACAGGGCGACAAACTGCCGTCTCAGTTCTATTTCATTTTCTTCAGCTATCTCATTGCATTTGAATGTTTCTGTACGGATTGCCTTTCTGGTGCCACCCATAAAGACTGAATGAAGTATTTGGAAACACATTCTAGAGAACAATCTCATACAGGCACAGGACATCCTAATAGACAGTCCTGATACTGCTAAGACCAAGCGGTGCCCTAGCTCTTACAGTAATACTAAGTTAGCTATCACTCTGCAGAGACCTAGAAATTTATACTGCAGCCTGACTCACTTCAGATGTAGTCATTAAATTAATTTTAGGGATTTTTTAAAGTAATCCAGTACGATGAACTGAAATGTAAAATTTATCTGCTGAGGGATACTCATGTTAGAAACCTTGATTTCCTTCCCGGCAGGTGTGATGACCTCCACCCTCATTACCCTAAAAAAAGAAAGAAAGGGGACGTAGGCACAGCTTTTTTATCTCATGGTAAGCTTCAGAGAGACAGGAAATTTTGCCAGGGAGGAATGAAGGAGTCCATAGAAGGAGGAAACAGCATGCTGTGATGACCTTAAACTTTATGGATCGGGACCCTGCTACAGCTTAAATCAGTCCTGTCCAAAGACAGAGCCTAAGGAAGCATAAAATGTTCTATATCTAAATTGTGTTAAACTTACGGTTACTAAGATTTACTAATGTGCGACTGAGTATAAGAGCAAACATAACAGTCAATATTTTTCCAGAAGCAGTAGGAAAAGTAACATCTTTGAATAAATGATACTCAAAAGAAAGGTAATTATCAATCTCTGTATAGGTGTTTAACTGTGTTCAGCACTTAGGATCGCCTCCTGTTAATTCCAGAAAAAAAATATTTACTGCCTTACACAGAACAATGTGCAGTGCTGCATTGCAGTACTCACGGATACATTTTAGTGGACCTCCTGGGGCACTGAGCTTAAAATAGGTTCTCTCTTTCTCCCTCCCACCCCACTGTAGCTCTAATGATTGGCTTTTGGTTTTGCACGGAGAAGATGGAAGGACACCTGTATTTTCATATTCCCATGTAAAATTCCCTTGTGCATGCATGCGCACACACACATACTCACACACACACATATTCAACCTTCTTAGGAAGAATTTTAACTGCAACTTCCAGTCTTCTGAAAAAATTTCCCACAAAGACTGTCTTCCCTAAATATGTAATAAGAAAGAAAGGGTCTATGTAATGCAAACTAGTTCTGTCTACTCAAAAAGAAATATATAACCAAGAAAAAAAGGCCTTACAATATATTCCTATTTCAAAATAAAAAAGAGATTTCTCCCTGTAAGAAGTTATAAAACTCAACAGACCAGCTATGAATGGAAAGAACCACACCATATTTTAGGCAAATATTAAAATGAATTTGTGCCATTAAAAAGGACATGCTTGACTGCAAAATCTTCTCACATGAGTAGTTCTCTTGCCTGAGCAGTAAAATCACCCGTACTAGTAAGAGTTTGCAAGGCCCCAATGTTCTTGCCTTAATGAAAGCCACATTTTCTAAAATACTTTAATTTTGTGCCTACAGCTTTAATTTCAGATAGTGAAAACAGAAGAATTAAATACATAAGCACCTGAGTGTTCCTAACACGGACACCTAATTTGCCTCAATTGCATTATGTATATTTTCTGCATTATAGGAAGCTTTCTCATGAATGACTGCATATTTGCAAAAGTTAAGATACAGCAATTTTTACATACTGAAGTAACAAATAAAACAAAAATACTGCTACACACATCTGAAGGTAGACTTCTCCATGTCAGATTTCAATCTGACTGGCCAGACTGGCTGGCTGAAAACATGCACAATGCAGAGACAGAGGTTTTGGACATGTAACATTTCTGACAAGTGCTTCTATCAGAAGCATGTCTGCTATGGCTGAAAAGAGCATTCTAGGAACACTGTGTATTGCAAAAAGTAGAGCCTGAAGTACCACTATCTTCTATTACTAGATGAAAATGGGAAGACAGAAATTGCTCAGACATGGATCAAACACTTAACTCACTCCCTTGAAGCTACTGGTGATGCAATATAGACTAGAAACACTTCTCACAAAGCTCTTCCTTGCATATTATTTTATATAAAATCTGTTTATTGACATTTGTCATTAGTGAAATTTACTGTTTATAGAAACGTGTCTATGCCATACTTCTGAAAAACAGAAGTGTCGTTTTGCTTTCAACTCTAGAACAAACAGCTTTTAGTTTAGGGAGGCATGCTTTCGCAAAGGAACATCCTACCAAATGCATACTCATCAAACAATTAACGAATGAAGCAGCCTCTTCTGTACCCCACTCAAGAGGGTGGATTTGATTCTGTTACAGTTCCAAAGTCATAGTGAGCATCTTTTTAATCTGAAGCAGCATAAATGCATAATCAATGCGTATCTGCCATTCAAACACCTGTTTTCATAAAGGCAATTAATTGCCAACATTCTTATGGTATACACCTTAGCAGTCATGAGAGTAACAACCTGCTTCATGAAGCTTAGCGATAGCTCCAGATTTATGTTGTATCAGCACAGTAACCCCTGTTTCTCCAACCCTCCTATAAACCCCTCCCCCTGCAAAACCTTCAGGGACCCTACCCATTCATGGCATTCAACTTCTTCCAATACACCTTAAACACCACCTGGGGAAGAAGGTGGCAGGTGGCACAAGCTAACACTGGTACCAAGCTGTATGAATGAGACACAGCTAATCAGCGGGCCAAAAGAAGCAGGTAACTATGCAGTTCCTGTTTCAGTCTTTCATTCACTAGGCACTAACTGTATTTCTCTCCTGTATCCAGCTACTGATTTTGACAAAATCTTGGGAAGATCTCCGTGATCGCTATGTTTCTTCACACTGGCCAGTTAATGAAAAGTTATCAAACAAATTTTCTTGAGGGGAAATAAATAATCTTTTCTTGACCTTAACACAAATCATGTCTGTAATATAGCACAGATGCTTACTTGATAGGCCACATATACTACTGCCTTTTAAAATTAGTGATGGCCACTAAATAATAACATCTTCATTGTTTATAGAATGCCACACAGTCCATTTTACAAAATACCTAAGCTAGCAGTTACTTTTGTTTCAAGTATACACATATTTCTTTCTTTCCCTCTCCACAAACATTGTATCATGAATGAAATATGAATCAGGATTTCCCAACATCTAAGAACATAGTAGTCATTATTCCTCAAATAGCAAATTAATTTAAAAAGCAGTGATGAGTGTTACGAAATTTACACTGAAGTACCTTATAAAAGTGAGGAATAAAATAATTTTTCTACAATTTGACAAGAGTTAGAGAAGTTTAGCTTTTTTAACTTCATTGGAAAGATGAAAATTGTTAAGTTAAACCCGATCCATTAATTATTTTAATACTGTATTGAGCTGTTTTGAAACACTTCAATCACCTTTTAAAAGTAAGTGAACACTACTTCAGCTGCTGCAGCCAGACAACAGAGAATGAAGGAACATTAAACAGCCACAGGATAAGCAATGCATAAGTTGTACTATTTACCTGGACTCTGACTTGACAGAAATGGCCTCTCTTGCTCTAGCTATACTAGAAAACACTTGCTTGTGCTGGACAAGTTTAAACAAATACTGTTCAGCTTGTTCTCAGCAGCTCTGTTGTATAGGCTGAAGAACTACTGCAGGCTGTGCTCACTCCAATTCTTTTCTAAGCAGTGGCAGATGCAGTTCTTCCTGGATATTGACACTGAAGCAGAGTGTGAGGAAACTTGGTTTCTCTGAATAGAAAAATCTCTCTAATGCAGACTTGCAAGGTTTGCTTTTTGCTAGTTCTTCTTCACTTCTCTACTAAGGTCACTAACTTCCTCTTAAGAACTTGACTGACATGAGTAATGTGTTACCAATATACCAGTGGAGTTTAGTGAAAATAGTTTATGTAATATATATTTACATATACACATATATTTAAACAGTGTCCTATATGGTGCTAGGTATTGGTCTATAGCTCTACCACAGGATTCGGACTACAGTCAGCAAATCATAGATTGTTTTCTCTTCAAAGAGAAGTAATGTCACTACCTTTTATACTTATCAAGAATGAAAATACAGATAAAATATATAGCTTTATCATACTGCCTGCGTAAGTGATCAGCCTGCACCTTGGAGTGGTGTGAGCCAATCCACATATTCAAATATAGTCTTAGCTTTGTAACTCAATATACTAGAGCTTGCCAAGAGCATCCCTACACCCTTCGGGTTCTGAACAGTAGGTCCCTTTTCCTCCTCTGTTGAGAGGACAAGACCCCCCACTTATGCTCTTAGGCTGCTGGAAGGCAATCGCATTCATTGCTTTGCTTCTCTGGAGGAGGCAGCAGTTTGCTATTTCAATCAGAGGGCAGACCAAAAATACAGTGGTGAAAACCGGAGGGGAA